ACTATTAGGGAATATAATTATATCGTAATTATTTCTCAACTGTGCTTTTTGTCTAATTAGGTGCAAGTTTAAAACTATTATTTTGTCAACTTTGTATAAATATTTTCAAAGTACTCTGCATTTTGCTCTTCTCACCAGCCAAGATACCAGAACTAGCATAGATGTTTTGGCTTTGTCTTGTTTGGGGTTTGTGTGCTGTTCTGGGAGTGTGTGTGCACACATGATGTATGTATTTCCTACTATTAAAGATAAAGGACCCCTGGTGACTTTTGTTGTTATCTGTCTAATGAAACATGAAGTCTCGGTACCAGCAACAATAAAAGTAAAGATTTTTGGCAGATAAAGAGTAAGTCTAGGGTTTCTTTTCAATCACCACTTTCGCTTGTCTCTGTAGGCACTAACTTCTGACTGATATTTACTCCTTTTCTAGGCAAATCTGGCTCAACTACTTAGTGAGGCTCAAGACAGAAATAAACATCTTGGAGAAGAGATTAGAGAGCTTCAACAGAGACTGGGAGAAGTACAAGGGGACAATAAGGTAATATAAAATTTTGTTATCAGTAAATGGCCTGGAATGTGTAAACTGGGCTGGAGTTTTGCATTTACTCCTTAGGAAAACAAATAAAACAATGGGTTACAGAACTTCTAGAATACTTTGGTTATCATAAATGCTCAAAACAGTAGAACAAAAGAAGGTTGTACAGGATACTAGTAAGCACAGCTTATTATATATTTTTGTATTCTGTTTGTGCTCCGTTGTGCTTAACTATGTATTTTGCACCTAGTCTTGCTTTAATGATCTCAGACTTTCTCGCTTTCTTTCTTAATATATTTTATTATTAGTATTTACTCTTTACAAGTAAGTACAGATAAGTATGTCATCTTCTTCATGTGATAATTTTTGGGTTTTTTTGCAATGAAAATGCAAAATTTTAGTAGATGATGAAACCAGGGGAGGCATAATTTTTCCCTTCAAAAATATGGAGCAGTTGATCACAAATATATATAGTGAGCTTTGTGTTAAGCTCTCATCCTATTACACTTACATAACCAATTTATTTTATTGCTAAATTTAGCAAGTTATATGGAACATTGCTCAGAATCTGCCATTTGGTATTAATCAAACTCCTGTTGTCTCTGTTAATTGAAATATTTAAACTCAAGCAAAATGTGTGTAACATTCACAGCTGGAGCTGTATGCAGAAGTACATTCAGAGATCAAACTAGTGAGAGGTTGAATTTGAGAGTCGAGGTGGTTAACGAAGTAAAAAATGAAACAAATAATGAATCATAACTTTCCTCCCTCAACTACAGTTTTAAAGTTATGGGATTTTAAAATGTGAATAAAAATAATGCAGCTTTTAATTATTCAGGCGGGGAGGTTTTTTCCATTTAAGTTCATTTTATTTTATTTATTGTATTTTAAACATAAGTATATTGTGATACTGCAGTTCTATTCATTGTTTATCACAAAGGACTTCCTTGAAATTGTGCAGGGAGCTTGGAAAGTTCAAGTGAGACCTGAATTTGTAGAATGCATAGCATTCAGCGTAACTTGCTCAAGTCTTCAAAGACCAGCTTTCCCAGTCATAGAATCATAGAATCATTATGGTTGGAAGAGACCTCCAAGATCATCAAATCCAACTATTTACCCGATGCCACCATGCCTGCTAAACCCACTAAACCATGTCTTGAAGCGCCACATCTAAACGTTTTTTGAACACCTCCAGGGATGGTGACTTCACCACCTCCCTGGGGAGCCTGTTCCAATGCCTAACGACTCTTATAGTGAAGAAGTTCTTTCTAATGTCCAGCCAGTGTTTCTTTTCATTTGCATGTTATTGTTTGAACTATATTACAGTGTAGAAGACAGTACCTTGCAGTTCTCCAGTACCAATATTATGCCATACAGCCTTTCCCAAGCCAGTCCTGAACAGATAACAAGGGTTTGTAAGTACAAACAGAACACAAAGGTAGTAAAACTACAACATATTTAAATATCAAGGTTATGTACCTATTCCAATTCCTTATAATAATATGATCTTGGTAACACGGAGCCTACTTCTTTGTGCTTGAGCTGGCGTTTGTTTAGATTTGCCTTTGCAGGTTAACTTGATATTAGCTGGTCATCTTTGTGACATCTGTATTCTCAGCATGAATTTAAATTCATGATCCTCATAACGAATGGAAAAATACAAAAAGAGTTATCCTACCCACTGTGCCCCTCTCCAAAAGGTGCAAAATAGTGCATCGCTAAATAAAGAGGGGGAGGAAAGAACTGCATCAGACAGGGATTAATTTAGACTAGGATTTTCATTTTTGGAACACATTCTTCAATTTCTTAGTAAATGAGAAATAGAGCTTATTTTAGGGTCAGGTTGCTCTTTTTTGAAGTGTCTAAGAAAGCATTGCCATCTCTCTGAGGGATTTAACACTGTCCTCCTCTGTCAGATTTTGCTCCCTCCTAGCTTTGGTGATAAAATTCTAGGCTTGTTCCTTAAGCCGTTCTGTTCTGCTCATCAGTTCTCCTGTACTGGCAGCTGGGTTACTTCAGGCACTGGAGTCCTGATAATGCATGGTATATAGAAAACCAAAGAACTATAATAATTTGTTTGTTCTTACACTTTTCCCCTGCATTCTTCTCTCTGCTTTTTCTAGAGTGAGGGAGGGCATCCTGCCCAGCTGGTCTATGTCAACCTTACTTCTGGCAAGAGATGAACAAACAGCTGCTTTTGCAGCAAGTGAAGCTGCTTATGGATGAACAATTCTGCCTGTGTCTGGGCAGGAGTGACTCATGCAGGCTTTGTCACTGAGTGCAAGAGCTTTGTAGGACTAAAAAAGAAAAAAACTCTTTAGCCCTATTGATAAAGAAATGTTTTGATGACTTGTTTTTCACCGCTTTAATGTTTGCTACTAGTAGGATACAGTCACTTGGATTAGCAAGAAGACCTTAAATTGGTGGCATTTTACTTGTTGTTGAAATCATGTTAAGTACGTCATCAGTTAGGCAATAACAAATTACTTGCATTTGGTTTAACTGGACTAATTTTTTCCTTTAATTTCAACTAGAATTCTGTTGGCACAAATAATAAAACTTCTTCAGGCAGTCTCTGGAAGGATTTGTTGCTGCAGTTGGAGAAATACAACAGTAGTTAGACTGCAGCACTCCAGCAACAGATATCTCAGACTATTTATTTTTATGATTGATCACAATCTCTTATCAGCTCTGACACATGAAAACTATTCTATGTTTATGATAGTTATTCATAAATATTTTTCCTTCCTAACATTCTGGCAGCAATGCTTGGAGAACAATTACTGAAAGTTAGAAGAGAATGATTAGGAAATCTAATTCTCCCTTGTAAAAGGGTGAAAATGGAAAGCATAAGAGAAACTGGAGGCTTCTGGAAGACTAGATGACTCACTTGCCTTCACTTGAATTCCTACTCACGCAAAGAAATGGTTTTGTAAGCTGTCGAGGGCAGTGCTAAGCGAGAGGAAGATGCATGGAAAACAATGGCTGCAGTGTTACTGACAGTTTGTTATTATAAGGCAAACAATCATTCATGCAGCAACAGTGCGAAATGTTAAATGTGCGTATGTTTTGGCAGAACTAGGACTTAAGGTAGCAAATTTGCATAGTTGTGGTCCACTTTTTAAGATTTTGTAGACAACATGGTGAAGACACTTGCTGTCAGTGACTGTGGCTAAACGTGGTGGTTTGTGCTTTCCATGAAGAATTTACTGGTTGTGCTTGTTCCCCTCTTCCTTCTGCATGTTTTATCGATAATCAGGAATGTAGAACTTAAGCGCAGGCATTGTCTGTGGACTCCTAGCCTGCACAGCAGCTATCGCAGTGAAACCTGTTTGGGGCATGTGAGGCCACTACAGAGTTGCTATTTTATAAATAATTATTTTAGCTGACACTAATTAAGAAAAAGCTGTGATATTAAAATAATAAAGACTAATGGTTTGCAGCACTGGTTTGTTTTGGTTAACCATCTATGGGTTCTTGACAAACAGAAGCTATCTCTGGTAAGGTGCCATTAATTTAAATGTACTCTGCTGTGGATGCTGTTTGTGGAATCCTGAGGGGTAGCGTTAACCTGTTCTCTAGCTGCAAAATGAAGTTGAGCTGTCCTTTCCTTAGTGATTTTTGAATGACAGAAATAAAAATACAGCAGCCAGAGGACATGTGTATAAAGTTTATAACAAAGTACTAATAGATTAAATAAACCCTTAACCCTCTGGCATAACACTTAGTGTCTCTTTGGGTCACAGCATTTTGAGGGAAGAATTTTATAGCAGGTGATGCTGCCTCATGAGACGTTCACAATGCAGAATTAAAGGACTTGGCCTGTTCTGCCCTGTCAACTCTCTGATTGGCCAACTGTCTGGAAGAAGCACTCTGTCGTTTTATGGATTGGTATTTTACTTTATGTGTGTTTATAATGCTGCTTTTACTGGCTGAATTTTGATTTTGGAAGCATTCTTTTTATAAGACTTCATACTTTTTTTTTTCACCCCAAAATTAGTAGTAAATAAAGAGTTCGCCTTTTATTGGCAGACTGACCTTGTAAGTAATAATTGCTTGCAGTTATAATTGCATGTTATGCCTCACCTCCTCCTGGGCTGGAGGAGAGTTGGTCATAGTGCGTGAGTCACAGCTCTGATCCAGTTCTCAGCCTGGTGCCAAGTGTTACATAGAAGTTTTGCTCTGCTGCAAGCATTGGAGGCATTGGTAAAGAGTGATTTCCCCTTCCCGCTTCCAGTATTTCTGAACAAGATTAAGCCCTCAAAATGTTATTACATTGCTATTTCTCACTAGCAAGAGATTGTAGAAATTAAATTAATCTAGCCAAATTAAATCACGTTACCATACCTTTTGTTCATCAGCCTTACAGCATTTAAAAAAAAAAAGGTCCCATAGCTATGAAGCCATTCCGGGATTTGCTAGTTGCCTTCTTGACTTATTTGTTTTGATAAAGAAATTAATAGGAATTATATCTCCTAGGATCCATTCAGCCTTAATAACTGTGCAGTGATTTGTGCTTTCCCTGTGGGGGTAGGAAAATGTAGTTTGCCAAAACCAGTTACTTTTGGGGGCACAGCTTCCCCTGAACAAGTGAACTGCTTATCAGAACAAGTTGTACTAGCTTCAGTGACTTGCACTGAGGTGGAGCTGAAATAAGTGGGGACGATGATTTTGGTAGTCTGTCTTGCATCAGCAGGATTTTAATTGGCACATTGCAGCTATGGTGACTGGCATCCCATAAATACCAAAGATAGATTTTAATGTACAATCTCCTACTTCAGAAGATTGATTTTTTTTCTAACTCTGCAATATAATGATGTACATTAATTTCTTGGTTCAGTCAAAGATACAGGGAAAGTCAGTCTGGTTATTGCGGTGAGTTTCTCTAGTCTCTGTGGAGCTCCTACAAATGAGGCCATGGGGAGGCAACACTTTTGCCTAGTTGTACTCAGTATAAACAATTCTAAATGCTGAATGCCTTATAGACTGTTATTTTAATACTCCATGATTCTTGAAAGGTAGTTGCTTTTTGCTTTGGATATTGAATATAACTGTGTATTAATTCTAGTCAGACTGTTTTCAGCAGTCACAAAGCTCATCAGTTTATTAGCTGTTTAAGCATTTTGGCCAAGTCTTTGTTGTTGGCCCATTTTTTTTGTTTTTAGCATGAATTAACTTTTGCAAGTAGATGGAAAAAAAAATAATGCACAGGCAAACGTATTAGCAACTCCTAATGCAAAATCCGCATTGATGTAGTGCAGTGGGATTTTAAGTGATATCACTAAAATGAAGCTGGGCAATCTACTTTGTGCCTTTTTATTCTTGACTAGGAAGAGTTCTCTGCTGCAGAGAATTTTAAGATTTACATATGAGAATGGCTTTCTGAGAGTTCTCTAGTTTTAGTCTGACTAGAATTGGTTCCTGTCACTCCTGAAAAACATTGACCACGTGTCTGTATTTACTTGGTCTTTCATAATTTGTATACTCTGGTGACTGTTGTTGCAGGGTCTAATTCAGTTCCTGTTGATGCCTCGAGTATTCAACTGGAATTTTTCACTGAGAACATGATTGAGCCCTCAGCTCAGAAAATTCCCTCTGGTTTAAATAATACCAGCTGTTTGGCATGGAAGAGATGAAATCTATGACAGCTTTACTCTTTCTAATGCAGATGTACTCTGATGCTGCAGCCTGTGTTCTCTTGCTTACTGAATCTGTTTTTGTAATCGTAGCTCCTTCGAATGACAATAGCAAAGCAAAGACTTGGAGATGATGAAGTTGGGGCTCGTCACTTTGCAGCACATGAACGGGAGGACCTTGTTCAACAGTTGGAGAAGGCTCGAGAACAAGTAATAACTAAATGGGCATATACTGTCATGTTTTACAGAGCTAGTGCAGTAACAAGTCAATGACTGCTTCTATTGTGTTTGGAGGGCTGGTAGCTGATTAACATTGCAAATAGTGATGAAGGTGTTGGGATTTTTCCTGAAATAGTTCTTCCTGAGCTCTAATTTAAACATGCATACGTGGTTGAGTGAGTTTCCTAATCTCAGGAATTCCTTCTCTAGGTATTGATTATCCTCTTTTTATAATGTGCAGCAACAACTTGTGACAATTGAATATTGTCAATGAATGTCAATGCGAAAGACTCCTTAGTGAAAGCTGTTACAAGTATTCAGCACAATATGTGGTGGCTGCTGCGTCTCCTAAAGATACTTTCTGAATCTGATTTTCTGTAGAAGTGGTGTTAGTCTTCTCTTCCTCCTGCCCCTTAGCTATTTCTTTCCCTCTTTTGAAAAATTCTTGCATCAGACCTCTTTTCCCTACCTCAAGTCTGGATTAATAGTATGTACCATGCAGCATCCAATTCATCAGGCTCTTAAAAATACATAGCTTTCTGGACAATTTTGGGGGTTTGTGTTCTCGGTTGTTCCCACACTCATTCCTACCAATGTCAGTTCCACCCTGAATGAGCCATTCTGTGATCCAGGAGGAGGTGCATATTTCTTGTTTTTCAGTCTTCACTCAAGTGCGGTGCTACTTTAGCTTACCAGAAGGACTGTTGACTGCATTTGGTCTTCTTCCAATGTGATTCTGTCTGGTATCTCTGTTCCCAAGCGCGCACTCTCTCTGTTCATCAACTTGCCTCTTTTCACATGGTCTTCTGTTGTCCTTCCCGGCGTATCAGTGTTTTCTGAGGTGCCAGTGGAGACTTCTCAACTCATTGCAGACTTTTCTCACACTCTGTTTCCTCTCCTTGTAAGTTTGAAGCTTTTTGCCCTTGAGTATCTTTCATACTGGACTCCTTCACCCTTTTACTTAATAGCAAAGCTCACTTTGTCAACTCCATGCTGGCTTATTTTGTGCTTTTCTCAGTTCTTCTTCCTGTTCCATGGAACTTCATTGCTGAAAGTCCCATAATTAGTATAAATTCCCCCTTACAGACTTTTTCTTCGTCCTCCAAATTCTCACTCAGTTGAGTTCATTCCTGGAGTCCTATAAATTACATGCTAAAACCAGTTTAATATGTTTGTAGCAGAGTTATAGTACGGATTAAGGTTTCTTTTGCTGTTACATTTTAGTTGTTTTCTAGAAATTTTGTAAAACAAGTCTAACTGCTGAAGGTACTTAACTTCAAATTAATGAAATAATTCCAAAATAGAGTAAAAGTACCTGGGATTATGAGCTTTGGAAAAACTTTTGACTGTCCAAAATCAATCCTGTTCAGACATGCAGTGCTTGTTGGTGTTTTGAGTTTGGGCGCTATGGAATCTTTTGTTTAAACTTCAAAATAGTCATACAGCTCTCCTTTCTTCTCAGATCGAGACTCTGAGATACGATCTTCAGGCTGCACTGGATGAGTTACAGGATGTGAAAGAGGAACGCTCTTTTTACCAAGATAAGTCTGACAGACTAAACCAAGAGCTTAATCATGTCTTAGGAGGGCATGAAAACCGTATCATCGATGTCGATGCTCTATGTATGGAGAACAGGTGAGCGCATTGCAAACCTTACAGAACCAGCAGTGTATTGCTTTAACAGCAGCATCAGGAAGTCAGTCACAACAAAACTTTAAAGAAAATCTATCCGAGAATAAAAATTAAGACATTTTGGTAATTTGTTTTGTCTGTTTTGTTTGTACTGTAGCTAACCATCAAATAATATTGAGAAAGTTAGGCTGCAGGAAAATACCAGTGTTTTATTTGTGTACAGAGATGTCAGTGATATTCCCAAATAGAGCTAAACAAGGAAAAGGAAGAGAAGTGCGGACCGTGTTATTCCCATCACTGTATGGCACCAAAAGCAAGAATATTAAAAATTGGTGTCTTCAGAAACTCCTAGTGTGCTGTAATGGGTTAATCTTGGACTGGAAACAGGGACTTTAAGTACCCTGAGTTAACAGTTTTGGACATAATTCTCACCACAGGGAGAGGTTGTCAGCATGGAGTGATTTGCCAACATAAGTTGCTGGTGAAATCACCCATGTAGATATTCTTGCCAATTCCTTCGGGAGAAAATGTGTTTTATGGTCTCTGCTAAGGACGACAGAGAGGAGTCACTGACAGAGCCATAGCAAGTACCTCCCTTTATGTCAACAATTACCTTAAAGTGAAATAGATCTTGTAAGACACTTTCATTTACAGAGACTTATGCATCAGGTAGGAAAGTGTAATACTAAAGGCATTGCTTCCTCCCAGCAACTCCATTTTTTTTTCCTGTTTTGCGTGGCCTAGAGAGTTCTGTATCAATTTAAGCCCGCTGCTCCTCTGACAGTGATATGATTTTTTTTCTCTGAAATAGTTAAATTGTCACAAATCCTTATACAGCTGCAGTTGCACTACATGAAAGAGGGTATTTTATAAACCCTTTATACATGAAAAACATATTTTCCTATGTGGAAATAGCCGTCTAATCTAAGTGCCTAAACCCTATTAGGAAGAACTGTACAGTTTCAGTTAACCGTATACCATTTTTCGACTATACTGTTAAATTTTCTACTTTGTGATTGCTAATGAGAAGTGCCATGTAAGTGATGGATATTGCAATGCTAAAGTTCTGCATAGTTGAGTCTTGTGTTGACATAAATACAAATCTTCATGGGTCCATCTCACAAACCTTCAAGTACTGAGGACACGAATAAATGCTTCCTGACTAGTTCCTCTAGACATAAATACATCCTTTCAGCTTCCCTCCCCAAAAACCTGAGGACCAATACAAAATGGTTGTGCAGCATGCTTACAAATCTAACAGAAAGGCAGCCTCCTTTTCTGATGCAATTTGGTTCCTTGCTTAAAGTTTTATGGGGTCAAGAGCAGTAAGATTTTGTTATTTTATCCCTCGCAGAACTGCAGAGGGAAAAGAACACTCAGTAGTTCAAAGAGAGGACATGCCAAGTAGTAAAGAGGAGTGCTTGAGGCAGCACTTGAAGGTACCATGAAGTAAAGGATTACATTTCTTTTTCAGGTATCTTCAAGAGAGATTAAAACAACTTCAAGAGGAAGTCAACCTTCTTAAGTCTAATATTACTAAATATAAGGTAAGATCCTCTCAGTGTATCATCTAAACTGTACTTCATTGTTCTTGGAGGTTGTTGTTCATTCTCATGTTCACACGCATTTAAAGAACAAAATTGTGTCTTCGAAGAAAAATCCACCATTGACATTCTAACAATATTAGTATGTTTATATATTACATGCTCAGTCTTCCTTGTAGGCTTCTTAGCTGATGTAGTACAAAGGGATACCCAGTAAGAGTATTTCGAAAAATGAATTAAATACCTTTTTTTAAGTTCTAGGGCGGAACCCTCCTCCTGTTGGGGGGGTGATCAGCCTCCCAGCCTGCTGGTAGGTGAAAAGTAGCAGGGCATGCAGTGACTGCGACTGTGGTGCCGTCACAAGCAGATCTTGTCTCCCTGTTCCCTAATGGCCGCACTATTTCTTCATGTGTCCTAAAGATTGCTAAGTCTTCATTGTTCTTCCATTCCCGGGTGAAGATAGATGCTGTTTTGCATGAAACCTTCAGGACTGAATCCTGAGGGCAAAATATTCTTGCTCTTCTCTGAAGTTAAGCACTCTGTTTTCTTCTGCAAATGATTTTGGGGTGTGGGAGGGGAGGGCTGCTTGTCAGGGCATGAGAAGGGTTGTCTTAGGACTGCAAATAGGACTTCTTAACCATTTAGGTCACTATGAAGCAGTCACAGCACTAAGTGCTTTTTGTGCATGAGCAAAGCTCCTCACAGTACCAAGTTAATTTCAGTGTCTGTTCACACTTAGCACTTGGCTCTCTCAGAGTGTGAGTTAGTTTATCGATGAGAACTGAGCATCTCGGTGATCTGGTGGGTTTCACAGAACTGTAATTTTTTTGGAAGAGCTGGCCTTCTGTAGCCGGATCATTCTGATGCTAATTCCTGAAAGTCAGTATTTGCTACTAGAAGGGCTTCTGGAAACTCTGATAGAGCAGTTTGAGCTTTCCTTTGAAGCCTATCCAAAGAAATGCTGGGAAAAGTCTGATTTTGTTCCCAACTGATGTTCTCTACAGGATACTGCAGTATCTGCACTAGCGCTCAGCAGATTATTAAAAAATAGGCAAGTCTTAAAAACGTGTTGGAGGGACTGGGTGGGAGAGCCTACAATAAAGTGATTGTGATGAGACAGAATGAGTCATTGTAATACTGTAAAGACCTGTTTTGGCTGGAGAATAATACTCCAGGAGAGTCCCACTCCCATAGGTTACTACAGGTGTAAGCTCCAGGCCCTGCAGAGGTGTTCTGAGACCAAAATCCAAAGTTCCAGATTCTTTACTCCTAATGAAAGGATTTGCTGGCTACTGTTTTTCTAAATAAGATATTTGTTGTTTCCTTAGAATGCACTAGAGAGACGAAAAAATTCAAAGACTCATAGTAGATCCAGTAGCAGTGCTCTGACTGGAGTCCTGTCTGCAAAGCAAGGTATAACATAAATGCAGCATACTGTTGAATATCTCATTGAATTACTTCCACCTTACCCCTTAATTTCAGTAACCCTTTCCTTACCAACCAAACAAAAATCTTTCTTCTCTTTCCTGTGTATTGTTATATGCTAATTTTTGTCCTTTTCTCTGTTGATTTGACAGTATAAAATTTGCTTCTTGAGTACTGCTTCTCCTTTTGTTACTCGTTTGCCATTCATTCTCTCACCCGTCAGTTTTATCAGATTTTTTTTTTTAAAATCTCTAAACCCCTCTGCAACTTTGACCCTGACAAATCACTTCTTTATTCATCTCTTTGCTCTGCTAACAATGGGAATCACAATTCATATTCCAATAAAAAATAGACTGGGTGGTAGAGGACAGGCCCCAAGTCAGGTTTTCTGCTACTGTCCTTGGAAGCTCTTGCATTCAGATGTTTTGCAAGAAATCCTTTTGTCCCATGTTTCTTCATGGGTATCAAAATGGAGTAATCTCTTTTTACCCCTTCAAAGAAAATATCAAGTTTAGGAAATAAAGGGGAAGAGAAAATTCTTTGAGCCAAACAGTATACCTGGCACCCTACTGTTTAGGTGTTGGTGTATTCATACACACACACACACAAGATCAGTAGTATTTGTCATGGTAGGTTGAAACTCGCTTTTCTGGTTTTGACTTCTCTTCTGTTCTCTTCTCCATGTTCTTGCGCATGTGTGTGTGTAT